CACATCTCCCACTGCCTTCCCTCTCTTTGGGATCATTAGCAGAGAGCAGCCACACTGCAAAATAACCCTTGCATTACATAGAAGGATCTGATTACTGCACAGAATAACTGCAAGAGCAGCTGCCAAACTGCATTAACTTGAGCAGTTGTCTATGTGACAAGGCAAGCCAGTCAGTTCAAGTAAAAACACCACCATCATCATCTTAAAGGTTTCTTCATTTGGACAAGGCCAGATATGGGGCTCAACTGAAGTTACGACTCAAATGTACTTTATGGTCAAGACAAGACCAGAGAGCACTACGAAAAGACATAAGTGGATACTTTCCCTCAACTCTGTTGAAATAAACCAAAATCAACAGGCTGCACAGCAGATTGCTGCCCACTCACATTTGAGCTCTAATGAGAACAAAAAGGATAAACCAGCTTGAAGATTTGGTTGCTCCCAGGGTTGCTCCTTCTCTGCTGTTACACAAGATCCTCTGTCACAGAGGGTGCACAGAAATGCTCTGAGCCCAAAAAACATCTCCAATTCACCTGTTCATGAGTCAAAAGGTTTCAGGTAAACTCAGATGAAACACGACAAAGCATAGTAATATAGATGGGGGGGTCCTATTTATCTGTTTTACAAATGGAAAATGCAGAGAAACTAATGTAAATCGGAACAAGCTGTAAGAAGTGTTCTGCAACCTTAAATTAACTATCTAAGAGCATGGCAGGCGTCTGTGCTGTTAATTCTGCACTTCACTTAGCTCCTACAGTCATATAATCTTAAGAACTTCAGTGGAAAAGAAAACAGAATCCTCCAGTCCTCAGGGAAAAGTCACAGTTTATCTCTAGAAAGCATGAAGCCACGAATCTGAAAAGACGCCAAAGTTGACAGTTAACTGCCACATACTACTGAAGTCTTTTTTATTCCCTTCTGCTTAAACTCTTTCTTCCCATTCCCAGGCCAGACTCAAGTTTGGAAGTCAGTGAATGAATTCCACAAGTACTACAGTTTGTACTTTGGTAAACAGCTTAAAAGCAGAGGTATCAGGTTCCACAGCTCTGTGAGGAGGCTGGCATGACTTCAAAGCACTCCTGGAATATTCTGAAGAGACAATGGCTTCTCCTTAGTGAAGGTTGGAACAGTTCTTCCCTTCAAAAGGGGATTTTGACACCTACAGTCTCAGCTTCAGCAACGTAACACCAACATGTCTGAAGAACTTGTACCAAGGCAGAACTTACCTGTGAAGCCTGAAGCAAATCAGAAAGCATTTGAGACCTCAAAATTTTTAAAGGGATCTTGGGCCTGTCACGACTCAAAACTGGGGTCGATTCAGAACCCACACTGGCTTCAGGGTGCTAGTCCTGGTGGAAATCAGGTGCTTTTCACAAGCTTTTTTAGTTACTAAAAATAGCTCCATATTACATTATCAAAACTACACAATTTTTAATTTTTCTTGGCTGCAGTTAAATTTTAAAGAGACAAATACATCAATCCCAGGATTTATAGACAGGTCTCATAAAACCTTCCCATCCTAAATTATTTCAAATACAGCTATTTCAAAAAGTTGTCATTTTCTCCTTTCTCGTTTGATATTAAGAAAAGTCACCTTTCATAGCTTTCGGCTTAGAAAAAGACACACAGGATTTTGGGTACTTTTGCCAATCAGTTTACAACCACAACCTTTCACCCAGTCTCAAGAACTGTTGCAAACATCACCTTCCAAAGGCAAGGGCATGCCAGAGAAATGGATTTTTACTGGGAACAGCAAGGTGAAATAAGAAATAGGAATATAAAACCCCCAGATATAAATATATCAAGATCAGCAAAACTGACTAAGCAAATACTGTACTGAGAATACCCTCCTAAGCTGCAGGTCAATGGAAAATTATAATTTACAACTGTATCATGTGCAGCAGAGCTGCTACAATTCCAAACATGACAACTGGGTGATATATGTCATTTCCCATGTTCTTATATGTCCTAGTATTTCAGTTATTAAATGACAAGCTGAGAAACTGTAATACAGAGACAAGTGACAATTATGCTGGTGAAAGCACAGTCAAAATTCATCAAAGTGTGATGGAAACTATGGGAAGAACAAAACATGAGCTGCACTGGTGCTTGCAGGAAAAAAAAAAGAAAAAGCCCTAAACTCACAAACCACTTGAGAATTTGAAGCAAGGACGAAATGAAACACTAGACACATTCATGAGGCGAGATGGCATATATATGGATGATCCTTGATAGAAAAGCTTAAGGGAAAAGGAAAGGAAAGGGCAGCTGAAAGCACAGTAGTCTAATGCTTCATCATCCCCTCTCCCTCTTCAGAAGCCAATGGAATAAATTCCATACAGGGGAGAAATGATCTCAGCATTGCTGTTTAATCATAGCTCTCTGCTAAAGAACTAGTGGGAACAACTGCAAACTTTCCGCAGAGTTTATCAGGAAAAGGAACCTACCCGGATTACTTAATCCCCTTTTATCCTGTTGATCTGGTGCTCTGCATCTGTACTACTTCAGTCCCGTCCCTGGGTGACATACTATTCATATGGCTTTCCTGCTGCCACCATCCTCTTTGCAGCATTTGTCCCACCTGAGTGTTTAATTCACAAATATAAAGGGAAAAGACTTCTCAGCTCAATTATAGCTGGCTTTATCATCTTGTCCTGGTTTTCCTCAATAGGGTTGCTTAAGGTTTGGGTGCTGAGAAATCTACCCTGCTCAGTCATTCCCACCCATGACCAACATAACTCTATTAACAAACTTTAGGTAGACTACAAAAAGCATGGAAACTGCCGCTCACAGCCTCAGCCTTTAAGGCACTTAAAAGGTATGAGCTGTTCTTAGATGACTCTACTAAATTAGGGAATCTGACTTCACTGAATGCAAAGCTGATAAGCCCAATATTTAGTCCACCTCTTCCCCCTTCGTTCCCAATAATCTCTTGACATAACCTTTATTTTTTCCTAACTTCAAATGCTGTAATGATGCTTCAAGCTAAACTACCAAACACTGTAAGGAGCTGCATGTTCTGTGAGCTGTCCTACAGTCACAAAATTCAAAGGCAAAATGGAAGAAGACTCTCTGATGGAAACACAGTTTGCTTTCTCTAATGTATCCTCAAAAAGAACAATGGGAGAAACTAGTTTCAAAAAAATACCAAATCAAAAATAAAATATCAAGAATTATCTTGAGGTAACATTTAAAAAATAAAAAAAAAGTAGAATCTGAAAAGATAGCAGGTAATAAAGACCAACCACAAACCACAGCACTGGCTGCAGTTTAAACTTCTTTAAATTAAGTATGCTTCCTCTTCTCAAAATGTATGGTCTATGAGAACATCTATTGTTGAGCAAACTTTCCCATGAAACCATTCCCATTCCAGTTCAGAGATAGGCATTATGGTCAAGCTATGTTTCTAACAATAATGTTTGGTTTGGCAAGTGTTAGTGTGGTTGTCTTGGGAAACAGGTACTTTAGCCTATGCCATTTATTTGGTCCCAGTACACTCCAAATTATTTTGATGAAACTTCACGTGTGATACGAAGGGAAAGTCATAGCTTGTAAATCACCTGGAAAGTCCCGTAAAGGGTAGGTCTTGATGGCCTCACCCTGCCAAAGAAACAACACTGGGTTGCTGATCTGTTACAAATTGGAAGTGCTTACAATAAAAGCAGGGGTTCTTTTTATTGCATGAAGGCAAGGAAATATATACAGCACAAAGACCAGTAATATGACCCTGCAGCAATGCTCACCATAGAACAGAAGGATCATAACTCTTTAGAGCAGTCAGCACTTAAGTTCATAAAGTTACTGAAGCAGTTCTCACAGCATTTGCCTCTCTCTCTTTCTAAAAATTGTTATTTATGTGCATGCACACTTTTAAATATGTGGATCATTAACTTGAAGGCGCAAGCTCACACCAAGCAGGAGGAGAAAGCTGTTTCTTTATCTTTTCAACAGAACCAACCAGAAAAAGCCCTGAAAATCATAACAAAAGAAGACAGATTTAAATTCCCAAATGATGCATGGAAGCTCATGCAAATTATTTTTTTTTAGGTCTGTTGCTCTTTAATTGTACTACACAAATCTCAATATTTTTCCTGAAAATACAAGTTTTTCTGTAAATAACTTACAATATCTAGGAATAATGTATATCACTTTTTATAGGCCTCAATACCTGAAGAAGTTCGTTTTAGAAGCGCAGAAATAGTAGCAAATGGCTTGGATCTCAGAAATATGCCGTAACCTCAGAGCCCAGTGTGAAAGAGAGCATCTGTCATTGCCTTGCACTTGTGGAAATAAGGCCAATTCTAAAAGCTAGGAATCAAAGATACTTTATATGTCTGTCACATTAAGTAACTCCTAATTATTTTATACAAATCTCACCTGTTTTAAAAACAATAAATAGAAAATACATACTGCTAGTTCTGATTTGTATTCATAGCTTTTCCCACAAATGTTTCAGTGCACCTCTCCAGCTGTCCTCAATCAGAAAAACACACATGAAACACCCACTTCTCATCTTCCTCCAACCTAAATCCTGACTGCTCAGGAGCTGAGAGTAACAGGCAGCAAGGTGATAGGAAACCAGGAAAAGGAGAACATTTGAAAATTAATGCTCAGATTCACAGTATTATCAGAACAGGCTGACTGACAGCTATGATAATCTACATATCTATAGGAAATTTCATTATTTCATTTATTTCATTGTACATCATATTGTAAGTAGGAGCAGGAATATGCAATGACTACAGTTAAATGTACATATTTGGCGTTTAAATTTCATAGACATTCTTCAGATTTCACCTAAATAGGTAGGCAGATTTATCTGTATTTGTTTTTCTAGAGCAAATATCCCTCAAATCAAACAGCAAAAGGAGGGGATTATCTAATTTACTAAGCAGCCTGATGAAGCAAGAATCATTTTACAAATCTCTTTTACTTATCTCTTTTACACTGACAGAGATCCAGCATGGCTATCACCTGCAGGAAAATCACTCCAAACTTACCTTGGTTCAACAGGAAGTGTGGAACTCTGCCCCACCTCTCTGAAACATGTCTGTTACTGAAATTCAGTCCTGGGTGAACAGTTAACATATTCTGAAACAAATAAGTCAGTGCTTCCTCCAACAGGTATTAATCTTTAAATACATCTCACAGAACACGTGTGTCGCAACTACAACATAAAGCAAACCATAACTGGAGCCCCATCCAAAAAACATAACTACATGTAATTCAGTAATGAATAAATGCCTACTAAATACAGATGCTGAGGCTACTGTGGGATAAAAACAGATCTGAGTTTTCAAGGACATTTTGTGAGTTTTAGTTAGCTCAGTGCTGTTGGAACATTTGTTGGTTTTACACTCATACATTCATTCATTCATTCATTCACACACTGTTAGACACAGTCACTCTGATGCTTTTCCCATTTCCTCTTGCCTTATTTTTCACAGTTTCACCTAATCCCTTTTCCTTCTAGTTGTTTCTTTTGAATAAACTTAGCATATTTTAGGTCCTTGGAGAAAGAAGGAAAAAATACAACTAATTTTCACAAACTTCTGCATAGAGAAACACTGCTATGGATACCGTTGCCTTCTTGCAGCATGTCAGTTCCTTTAAACAAGCTGCACTCCACTAATGGACTGGAAAAGTGCATCTTAGAAACAAATTAATTAGCTTCCTACAAATTAAATTTTTCCTTTCTGTACTCTTAAAGCTTTTATCTACGCTCTCCTCTTTCACTCTAACAATAAAATTGATTAAAGTCAAGTTACATTTCTGTAGGCATCGATTTGCTAAAGCTTTTGATACAGCACATTCCGGAGGCATTAGCCGATAAGATAGATCCTGCCTGGGAAGCTGCCATGGACTCCAGACAGCATTTGAAGTACAGTTATGCAATGAATGCCACAATGCCCGGGCAGCCAAATTATCCGGTCTTTACAAATGGGCTTTTTGGTACACGAGTAATTCACACGGCTCTCTGCTGGTGTCTCTATATAGAAATGGCGTAAGTTTTTGGACAAGGCACAGTTGAATATGTGCTCAGAAGTTACTATATATCGACCACAGAAGTGGTCACTGGAAGTAGTTCAAAAAGTTTTACAAGAATGCTTTGATGCTATGCAGAGCAGTACCACTGGCCAGTAGCTAAACTATAATTATGCTAGCTGGATCTGAAAGTCAGGGTTGAGTTGCAAGAATTCCCTTCTTGGCTCACCAGTTCCAGGCCTTGATCAAGGCCAATACACTTTTGGGAAAGTTCAGTTCCAGTGAAAATGTAAGATTACAGCTGAAAACCTCGTGGGTTCGGTTTTTGTTTTAAAATCTAGGTCATGTCACTCCAGGAGCAGTGGCAGACTTCCCACGCAGGTGCAGAGGACACAAGGACACGCTATAAGGAAGATGGTACGAACAAAGAAACGCTTAAAAGTATCTAAGCGCACGAGTTAGAAAAAAATAAAAATATTAACATCAATTCATTATAAGCTTTGTTTCTGGCCTGGCTACCATCTGTGATGGGGATTTTGTTATGCAGTGAAACAAGAACAAGATAGAGCTTTAAACACTGCCTGGAGCACACAAGCCCTGTGTTTATTCCCAGCAACATATCCATAAATTATAAAACAGAAAGAGGACCGACCACTTTTGACTGTGTGGGCTGCAGGAATTTACTTAGTCATGACATGTTCTGCCTGCTACTGCGACCAAGGCAGCAGCTTGCAACCCAGTTCCCATGTGCTTTAGTGAGGTACTTTACCACTGTACACCTGAACGGTGGCCCCTAACTCCGTATGTCAGGGATGAGTGATTAATAACACTTGGATGGTTTCCTGCTAGAGCAGGGTTGAGTGCAGCTGCTTCCTGGGCCTGGGCAGCATATCCATCACATCACCCTTTCAAGATGCATGCTCCACAGGGAGGGCCAATAGCATGGCCACAGATAGCAATCACCACTGGCTGAGCCCTAGCATGACATGGTACAGCTTGCTCCTGAGGTCACTTCTGCTGAAGGGAGACCAGATATGATCAGTCAGTAGAGGGTCATCCCTCTGGTGTGAGCAGGGTTAAGTGCAGCATCCAAGCTCCACTTTGATCACGCCATTTCATGGGCAAAGATCATAACTGTGGATTTTGTTAGGCTTTTTCCAGACTTTGTTGTCTATATTTTTTAGCCCACAGCTTCCCTGCATAAGTGATGTCCAAGCTTGAGCCTACTGCCTGGCTTTCAGCTCCTTTAGATTTCACTGGTGTGAGGAACAGTCACCTCTATTCTCTGCTCTTTAAACTCGCTCTAAACCAGGGAATCAACTAAATAAATAACTGTAATCTGGAATGTCTTTATTTACTGGGTGCCTCACAACATTGGCTTATGAAAGCCTGCGCAGAGCATATTCCCACACCAACCTGTGTGTGGTTCCCACTATCATATAAAAAAAACAATTGGCAGAGAACCATTATTTTACCCCCTCAACCCCAAAGAAAGAATCCTTATGACACTGAACTCCCTCTTCCTTTAAGCAGTCTCATTTTAAGCTTCACTATTTAACCAAAACACAACACAAAACAGCACACTTATATTTTACGGATTATTTTGCATGGTAGAGAATTATCTTCTGTTCATTCAGCTCCCTCCCAGAAATGAACATTCTTTTTCCCTGACTTAGGAAGTCAGGATAGTTTATTTTGTTTGTGCATTTCAGTTCACTCTGCCATACATTACCCTGATTAATTGTGGCAGTGACAAAGTTAGAGAAGTAATTTAAAATTATGACCATACAGAAGCATTGTATTTTACTGCAGCAAAATCAGAGCTCACATTTTAACTCTCCTGACCTTTCATTTCCCGTGAAGGAGCACAGGAGGTAAAACCTGTTCCTGAAGGCATGGCCTTAAGTGTTTGCACTATTTTGGTTTTAAATTGTTTTCCTTCATAATAAATGAAAATGCATGCAGTGTTACTTAGACACTGCAATAGCAATAGCACCATGACAGGTATACTAGGTATCACAGCACTGCAACAGCACCAAATAGGTACACTAGAGGTGGAATTAGACCAGAACCCTAAGGCTGTTAAAGAAAGTAAATCTAAATTTAGCTTTGTCAACCTTAGAAAACAACAGAAAAGGAATGCAAATGATAGTCATGAGAAATCTGACTCTTGTTTCCTGGGTAAAGTTTGCTTCTAAAAAGAGTATGCAGAAATACTGAAAGGAACAAAATATGCAAGGATGACACAGGGAGAATTTGAGCACATTGAACTTGTAATTGATTTCCTTTGAGTTTCATTTCTCGTTACCTTCTCATTATAGTTATTATATAATGACAGTTATCTATGTGAATTGTAAGTTATTCATGGCTTAACTCCCCTTTTTAAGAATTGGCCTTAAGTATTTTCAGACTAAGCATGTACTTCCTGTAATTTCCCAAAATAACTTCTGGCGATCACTGGAGCTGGAAGAGCTGCTGATTGCTGGAAAGTGACACTTGAAGTGTCTCCACAAAGATCAAACATGAATTTATTACAGTGCACCTATCTGAATGTCTATTGTGATGCAATCAATCACTGATACTTCACAGACAAGCTCCTGAAAGTGGTTTTTACTCTGCACGTACACAAATGTAATAAGCAGCAAAAAAAAACCTCCAGCAAACACCCCAAAAAGCCAGTAATTTCTTAGAGATGTTGATTGCAGCTCTCCTTACAAGATCTAATCTATTCAGCATCAATTTATATTACTGTTATATATGACAAGTATCCTGCATAAATAACAACACTGTTAAGAAAATGGACTGACAAACCCACATCATGGTTATGACGTTATTTGTCATGGTTATGATGTTATTTGCTTAGCAAGGATACGCGATTATTTTACAGTGATGGAAGTTTCATTAGGAAATAATTTCACTGTACTGCCAGCTAAAAAAGTATGTAACATACAGTGTGAAAGAGACTGATGTGAACACCAAGTTCATTTGGGTTCCCATTAAGAAGAAAGTAGCAAGTTCTTTGAGCTGTTTTATAGTTTCTTGCTTCTCTTTTTCTAAAGCCACAGTAAGTTTAATAGGCTGCTGCATCTCACCCAGAAGCTTCACCTTTTTAGCAGCATTCTTACCTATGTAATCATGATCAAAATTGTATTTATTAAATGATTTATTTTTTTTTAAGGGTGAGTTCATTTATTATTTTGGATGTCTTATTTCAAGTGAAATTTTTCCACATCTCTAGTCCAGAACAAAATTACCCAGCTAGGTAAAACCACCCGGTATTCCAGCAGGCCATCATTTCCAGCCAAACACACAAAGAGACCAGAGTCTTTTAAAACCCAAATAATTCTATAATGTGAAAAACCACTCTTATTTTCCCCCCAAATTTTATGCTACAAGTCCATCTGCTCAGAGTAAAATGGAGAGGACATAGTTCCAGGATCTGCCGACTTCAGTGGCAATTTCAAATTAAGCATTTCACACATTCCCCTATTCTTGGTTCATTTAAGTCCAAGTCAAGTCAGTGATACTGCTCATAGGATGCCTCCCGAAAGTTTTGGTGGCATGTTGTGGTAGTGCAGTTGCAGCAGCTGTGTAGAGAGCAAGGTTTTGCACTAGCTAGCACAATTTTACTACGTTAGCACTGTCCCCAAAATCAGCATACAGCAGACAAATAACATGGAGATGCTAAAAGTGCTCACAGAAAAGAGGACAGCAAAGAAAAGTAGTTTCAGAAAGGCACGAGGAGCTTGCCAGGAAGGTGGAGATGAGGAGCTCAACAAGAAGAAACCTTCTTGAAATGTCCATGAGAAAAGGTATTAAGAGGAGGAAGACTACCAGCTCCCTGACTAAAAGAGGCTTCTTTTCTGTTTTGAAAGGGCACAAAGATATTAGTGAAGAAAAGCAGCATATCTTCAAGGAAGCTTTGAAGATCTTAATTTCATAGAGCTCCTAGATCTCACAATGCAACTGCTAGAAAACCAAACACAGACACCTGATGTGTGTGTATACAGCCATTCTTAAATCGAGGATATACTTGCTTTAAGTTTCTGTATTTAGTTTATAGGTTTTGTTCAGTAAAGATCACTTGAATGAACCTTTAGTAGGCACTGCACTA